TAGATCGGCGGCATCCGATGGGATCCGTTTGGCCGCCGTTCGGCCAAGCGACAGCACTGATATCTGATAACGATCCCGCTCCGCCACCCACTCGCCCCCCATTCACCCCGCAGATCCCCTTGTGTACACCAACCAACCCGCTGAAATTGTTACATAGACTTAAAGTTGTAAGCCATCCCACTCCCCCTGCATTTTGTAAAAACACACTCATACCTCTCGTTATCCGCATCCGCTGGAATTACCCATCTCCCCTTGCCCCCTCATCGCCGTCTATCTCTCCCAAGTGTACAAATTAGTCATGCGCGCGTTTTTGTCTTTAAGTTATACGAAATTCAATAAAACAACAAAAATTATAATAACATTTGGTATTTTTACATGGGCGAAGTGTAGCAGAGCAGGCCCGCGAAAAAATTGTTTGTAAATACGTACTTAAACTTAATTATAAACCCCTTACGGACCACACTCTCGAATTGATGTACAAAAAGATTTCTTGTTGAGCTGAGCAAAAAAAAAATTACTATAACAAAAATAATAAACATAAACATAAAAACTAAATGCGTTTAATTATGGCTCGGAGGAAATTACCAACTTGGAGCATCTTTGGATGGGATGAATCGTTGCCCCCTCTTAGGGGTGGATAAAGCAATTTCAGTAGTTTCGGCAGTTTCGGCGATGATTCGATGGCCATTACAGCGAAGATGCAACTCATAAAATTCGATGTCGACCCACGACACCCGGAAGTTAGATAAGTGCCGAAAAACCCGAAGAAGTCGGCACCGACGTTCAGCTGGAATTGGCAAAAAGGCCATGAGCCAAAGTCAACAACTGCAAAGGCGATGATGACGATGATGATGTTGATGTTGATGTTGAGTTGCTGGCGATGGCGCTGGCTATGGCGATGGCGATGCCTTTTGCCTAGATGCCAAATAAATCTCAAGGAAGCATCTCCGCGCCAGATAAGCGGCAACAATACCGCCGCCACTTCCTGTTGCCAAGTTGAAGTTGAATGCAGCTGCCCAGCCGCAACTTCGATTCAGATGAGGTTTCAGATGCAGTTTTGGATGCAGTCTCAGTTTAAGTTTCAGTTTCGGTTTCAGTTTCGGTTTTGGCCTCCTCAGCGCCGAAGGGAGTGCGCGGCGATATCGCATCTAACAACTATGGCAATTGCAAGTCAGTCGGTCGGTTACCACATGTTGCTTTAATTGACTCCCCCTCCCCCTCCCCCTGCCCCCCCCCGCTATCGCGCAGTGTGTCTGTGTGCCAAAAAGCGAGGCCCGCATAAGGTTAGCCGAAGCAGAGGAAGCCAACTGCCGCACCGGTTGCAGTTGCAATGGGAGCCTGCGGAGCCGCGCGGATTAGGTAACAGCCGCAAAAAGTTCGAGTTCAAGCAAACATTCCGTTGGCAAATCTCAGCCAGCAGTAGTAGGCCGCCTACTAATGATGTTGCCAGCGATTTTGGCAAATCCCCAATTGACGTGGCCCGCAAATGGGTTTTTGGGGGTGTGGATGCGGCTGACAGACGAAAGATGAGCCGCGATAACTCCGCAGATGCAACATGCTGTTTATGAGCACAATGGCTCGTCTTCGCTCCGGGGATTTCCTTGACTTTCGGTAATTGATTTTCCAGCTTTGCATAACAGAGTTTTCGGGTTCTTTCTCCTTCAGCCGAACAACGAGAGCCTAATTAAGCCAAGGTCGCCAAAGATCTGCTTTCGGTGGCAACAAAGGAAATCAATTGGGTTTCCATTTAAGTCTGAATGCCATTGGCACTTTGTGCGCTGGTCATGCCTTAATTTGTCGCAAGCCAAGAAATCCGTATCAGTGTCTGTAACGCCTGCAAGTGATCGCCAGCAAGCCGTGCTGATTGCTGATGCTCGAACGAGGCCTGAATTGCATTCCGCCTTTATATAACCGCCTAACAAGTGTCATGCAAAGCCGAGACTTACGAGCCCCAAAATGATAACCAAGCAACAACAACCGACACTTAACGCATTCGAGTGAAGCACATAATGGTTGTTGTTTTAATTATTGAAGCAACAGAAACGGCAACATCTCTCGCATTGCACAAGCCTCAAAACCGCGCCGCGGTCGAAACAAAACGTAGCCAGCCACACCGACCGAGTGAAAGAAATTGAAAAAATGTAATAAAATAAATTTCAGCTAACAAAACAAAAATTAAAAAATCAAAACGAGACAAAAACAAAAAGAAAAACTGAAGCTGAAACTAAAACAACGGCAGAGCGACAGAAATATTTGATTGTAATAAATCTTTTGTTTGCGCCCCGCAACGCAGCAACACCCAGCAACGAGCAAAAAGCCAAAAGCAAAAGCAAAAAGCCAAGCAAAGCGGCGAAGAAACATTTCTTGTACAAATAACTAAAAGTAGTGGCTCAGGTTCAAGACGCCAACCGCAGCCGCGGAGCACGTGATGGATGCGGAGCCGGGCCGCGGAGCGTGAAGCTGCCACAGTGGGCACCATCGACTCGGGTTATTGCTCGCCAGGTGCTGTTGACTCTTCCCAGCAGCCGGGATGTGGGTCACAAGAGGCAGGCGACTCGGAGAACTGGAGCAGAGACGCTGTGGCAGTGTCGCTGGGTCCGATCAGGCGACATTAGGCAAGTGCTGGTGTGGCAAGGTCGTTGCCAACACACGGTGGCTGATTAAACGCGGGGAAGCCGTGAATTAGCGCCAGTCCGCTGAGAGAAAAACGAGCAGTGAGGCAACCCAGGCACTAACCAGCCACGAAAGCCATGACGCTGCCGAAATGGCAAACGAGATGTTGCAAACGGGCAGACGTGCGCCGCAACCGAGTACTTGCAACTGCAGGGCCGTTAAAAATGATTAAAGGGCGGCACCGAGATTGCGTTGTCAACGCGCTTGTCCCGTATCTCTAATCTATATAAATGCCATTTTATAGCTGACCCGTCCTCTCTCCAAACAAAAGACTCAGGCAACGAACTCGTTTTGCCAACTTGCAGATGTCCCGAAAGTGCGACTCTGTATTTTTCAATTTATTCAATTTTGATGAATGCTGTGGACTTTGATAAGTTCCGTGCGTATTGTGATAACTACGTTGTTATCGTGCATTATTACGTATTTAACTGACCTGCTATCTGCTAACAGCTAACTTTGTTTTTAACCAAGTTCTTGCTACCTTATAATTCATTTAAATATGAGATTAAGCTAAGCTAAGCTAATAATACAAAGTTTTCATTATAGAAAGACACATAATGTTTTTTACCTCATTCTTTTTAAAGCTAGTTTCAACTACGTTGAATAACAACTTTTGATTATGTTTGATTAGGTTTTTGTTTACAGAGCTGCAAACATATAAAACTATGTATCTTTAAGTGAAAGCGCATAAAAGTAATCTTTTTTATGGGCAGCCAATTAACACCTCATAAAAACTTTCAAGATCTTCTACCATAAATTTGAGTGCGTTCACCCTTTTACGCTCAATCATTGATTAATGTTGTTTGTGTTATGCTTTATCAACTTGTGATTTTTCCCAACTTCCCAGTGTGTGTACTGAGCCCATGCAAATTATGCCATAGTGCTCTTTGTGGCCCAGTTGTTCCACCTGCTGCCACGCCCCCATTAGCCAAATGTTGGCCACGCTCCGCGCTCAACGCTCAACGCTTGAAGCTCCAGTGTTTGCTGGCTTTTGGCTTGCATCGGCTGCTTCCAGCGGCTATTCAAATGCAAACGACTTGATTGTCAAACATTGTTATTACTTCTGCTCTGTTTTTATTTTATTTTCTCTCCCCATTCAGCTTCGCCTGTTCAGCCCGTCCAGCCCGTCCGCCCCCTTGGATAATTTATGGCGGAGCTCCAAGACAACTGCAGTTTACGACTTCCCCAGAGTTCTACGACTGATACGCTAAATGATCAATATTTGATGGGAGTATTTGTCATGTTTCCATCGCCAGTAGCTCGCCGGCCATTTAGCGCTTAAACGCTCGGCTCCCCCGCGCCCTCCCCCGTCCCCTGTCCCCTTTAAATGTTGAAATTTCTGTTATGCAGCGCGTCGCCGCAGCGAAGACAATGCACAATTGTTGGATGTGTTGGGCGCCAATCGCAATTGTTTGCGAATAATTTTCTTTTTTTTTCTTTCAGCCTAACTACCGACCACATCCACATGGTTTTATCGGGAAGGCGTATACATGGGGGCATGGCAGCTTGGATTTATATTTAATGAGCCACATTTAGTTGAAAATCATCGGATTTTGCAACAATTAATTATATTACGCAAGACTCTGCCAGTCGGAGAGTGTGAATTGTAAGAGGCTTTTGATTGAATTGGGCAATCAGCGCAAGCCTTGGTATGCAAATAGTGATGATGATGACCGAAACTGAGTCTTGGGTAACTTCTGCAAATCTGGAACTGCAGGTGTCGCTGCTACTGAGCATTTGGCATGGCCAACTGCAGTGTTTGCACCAGCACTTGTTCTTTGCAGAGAGCTTAGCTTGCAGCCGCTAACTGGATGTGCAAATCCCAAGTGCTGCCTCCGATGGCCAAATATTTGAGTGCAAACAAGGCGGCGGGAAAGGCTGGTGTTTGTTGTCCCAAATTTGCGCCAGGGAAGTGAACATGCCACTAATGTCAAATGAAAGGGAGACCCTCTTGAAAATGATTGCAAAAAATCACTTTGAAAATCATTTTGGCTTAGCTTCAGTTTCCAATAAAAAATATACAAATTAAAAAAAAATTGTAAGGCCTAACAAAACCAGTTGGTAACTAACTTTATGTACTGATTAAACTTAACATTTATTTGCAGATTACAAATATTTTTGAGATGTGGATAAACCAAAAGAAATAGAATATTTGCCTCTTTTTTTTAAATGTTGTTTTCCAGTGCAAACAAATAACCAGTGCCCAAAAGTAGGTAACAAAAATATAGCTCCTGAAAATAAAGATAAAAACTGCAGCGCTCTTTTAAGCTCAACTATTATAAATTCAATTTGTATGCCCACCAGTAGAAATCAGCTGCAAGAAGTCGTTTGGTTTTATCCAACATAAATTGGCATTTATTTAGTTTTAATTGGTTTCTGTTTGACTTGTATGACACTGAAACTGGAAACTGACAAATGTTTTCTTTTGCTTGTCGGGCATGCAATGTGATCGAGTTTTGGGTGAGGATTACCAATTGGTTCCACATGGAAAGATGGCTCCACCCAGCATGCCGATGCTTGTCAATTCAATACATTCAATATTTAATATAGGTAATATATGCTTGCTTTCGTAATTGTAATTAGTAATACACATATTTGTAGTATTCAATTTGGGGTTTACCATATAATGCCGCGCTTAATGATTACGAATGTTTCCACTTGGGTATTGATTCTCTCTTAATTTCGTATAATATTCGTTCTGCTAAGAAGGAGCGAGTGATTAGTATAAATGCGTTTTAAACTGCTTGACCCATTTGGTTACAGAATTCAAATGTGTGCTGATCGTGCTTAGTTTCTCTCGATTTCGAGCCTGACGTGCGTTGAAGTTGAATGTCCTTTTGTGTACGAGTGTGTGGTGGTGTCTGACCCACTTATTAATGTTTTTTCGGGAGTTAAATTTTGATTAATGCGTTTTATGTAAAGTTAGGTAAAAAATTAGCTGTATATGTTTGTATATGCATGTACGCTTATCGCTTAAATAATTACAAGTATGTAGCGACGTTCAATAAATGCAAAAGTGAAATTTCGTCATAATCCTTTGACAATGAAGCAACTCAAAAAGCTTTGGAATCTGCTTGAGTTGAATATTCATGCATAATATATTAGTATGAAAATGGATTATGCTGTGTCGATAATATTGTATTTATCCTAAGTTATTTAATTTTCAAACCGCTTGTTTAGTTATTCGTTTCTTTTTTTTTTGAATGCCAAAAGTTTTTTGTTTTGATTTTGATTTGCCGAAAAGTTTATAATTATCATAAGGGTAATTAAAATCTGTTTTGTTCGTTACAATTTCTGAAATCCAACGTTATTTTGACTCTAGAGTATTGCTTGCTATTTTAATTACTTGAAAATTTGTAGGTGTTTCCATTTCCTTTCCTTTTATTGATTAAATGCCGTTTCCTTTACTATACACTACTTAATATTTGTAGTTCGTTCGCCATGAAAATTTGTAGTACACTCATATAGGTAAGCAATCTTAGTTTTCTCACAACACTACATTTATATATACGTATATATATCTATATAAAACTGTATAGTCTAGATAGGAGTGATTATTTGTTTGGATAGGTTAGCTTGAACTAAAGAGAGTGGAATAAAATCATAAATCTAACAAAAAACTCTAAAGGTGCTTTTGTTTTCCATTAGTTAAATGCAGTAAATGATGTGCCCAAGGTCGAGGATCAAAATATAATTGTGATCCCATGGCAGTGCCCTGCTGAAGCCTCAAGGAGCTGCTTCGGAAATGCTTCGCTATTTCTATTTGTTGAGCAAAATACTGGATATTCTTGTCACTCCTGCATATTGGCCTCACTCTGCAAAACTTGGGTTGATCCGATTTCGATTCAGCTTGCATTAGTCAGTCTTTGTAGTGTTGGTGGTATCTCCAAGGATTTTCTGGGCGCAATGGGCGGAACCCAAAACCAATTGATTAAACGAAAACAAAAAAAACGAAAACAAAACGCAAGATGTTTTAAATAAAATCAAAATCATATATTTAAAAACTTACGAACTAAAAACTTAAAGTAGATCAAATAAAGTGAAGTAAACAATTTCGTTTTCTTAAAGCTTCAAATGCGTATTACTCATGTTCAAAACGGTATATATCAGAATTGGTTTAAATAAATCGTGCAAGTGTGTATCAGTGTGGGACTTGAGAGTCCTGGGGCTCTTGTATAATACATTCAAATGTTGTGGCTGCGATTTGTGCATTGAACAGCTTTCGATTTGTTCTGTTGGAAGCGCATTTTCGAAATAGAAATTAAAATTAAGTTTAAATAAGACAGTTGCGTGTCTATAAATAAAGAATAAAGCGAACACAGAATACAATTACTGACTTACAAAGTTCTACAAATTAACAATCATCACAAGTCAACGCAAAACGCAAACGAAAATCCAAATGTGCGCTGTCCATACAAAGTACAAAATGTATAGGAGAAGTATACAATTCTTTTATGTTATGACTAAATATATCGAGTTAATATTATGACTTTGACTTAGGCTAGGCAAAGGATGAGTTTGCTGCTCCTGGCATAGATGGCAAAAGTTTACACAAACAGATTCGAAATCAATCATTCTTTACACACAAGAATTCGTCTTAGTTACTGTTCCTCTGATATTTCGGTAAACACCGCTTAAAACTAAAATACATTATCAGAAATTAGATTCAAATATCCGTTCGCGAATACATCAGTATGTTTTTTGCGATTCTTTTCTCGTTTTTCTTGGGTGTTTTATCTGTCGTATAACCTTTAGTAATTTCCTTTAGTATTTTCTGCACACACTTATAGTAGTTATTCATATATGAACGTATTTATATATTTTATGTATGTTTGGTTTGCTGCTTGCATAGACAATATAAATATTTTTCTTGAAATTTGCATTCTTTTCCTTTTGCGTTATAATTACTTGAAGTAGTTGAATAATTGTATGTGTATATGCGGTATATAACTCCCCCTTTCTTCCTGTGTGTGGATGATCTGTCTGTGTACGATCTTGTGTGTCATTCAACTTCCACGCACCTCCAGCACTTAAAACACTAAGCTAAAATGCCACGCCCATCGCCGAAGGAGGGGGCTTACAAATTACACTGCCATAGTATCGTAGGCTGTGAATCCTGCGCCATTTGTTTGTTGGAGTTGGAGTTGTTTTGGGCCGGTTTCGTTTCTGCACATGAAAGGATATAGGGATTAGTTAAATTTATTGATATTGGGCATTAAATATTAGGTTTATGCTGCAACCAAAGCATTGCAAGAAAACGAGATGGGATCTTCGGAGGGATCTTTCTGGGTTTTCTTTGGTTTCGAAGTAATACCCTGGATCCAATCTCGCCTTGGTGGCCGTGTCTTTTTGTTCTGTTCGTGGCTAAACAATGTTTTCTTCTGGAAATTTCATTTTTGGCAAGCTGAGGCCAAGCGCAAAGCTGCAATAAACTGTTAATACGAGTACTTATGGAAACACTTGAGTATTTTGTGATAGACAGATATGTTACAGGGTCTGCTTATCATGTGGAGTATTTATCAAAAGAATTTCAAAACATTCAACTGTGATTTGCTTTCAAACCAAAATCCAAAATAAAAACAATTGAAGACAAAACCAAAACAATTCGAACCGAAACACGAACCAGAACTCAAGTCGGGTTATACATAGATGTTAAGATTGGATGCACTTTCAGTTAGTATTAGTGGGCATGCAGGATATTAGTGATTAGTCACGATTCTTAAGGGACTTAATTAGGACTTACAAATGTCGTCGACTATTGTCAGCGATCAAATTCATTCACATTTAGGGTAATATACGTAAGTAAATGAAGAAAAGGAAGATTAATTGATTGCGGTTAGTGAAGGGATAATTGCATCAGAACTACATTGACTTCTGTGCAACTGTTTCAACAACTGGTGATTGATTTCGTGTGATTGAGCTGTGATTATCTAGTGTGGGATCCTTCGTCTGGTCTTACCTTTCAATCAGTTTACGCATTTCTTCGGTGGTGCGCTGATCTTTCGGTTGTGGGGACCGCTTCACTGCTGCGAGTTCAGCATTTGGGGTTCAAAATATTGCAAAGAAATTGGTTTGTGTTGCCCCAACCGATAGAGTAGGGTAATATACAAATTTAATAAAGTTCCATAAAAGAAAACAGAAAGAAAAATTCGGAATGGATATGAAATCATAAAAACAAAATAAGCTTAGGTCTAAAAAATATAAATTCGGCGTAACTTCGTGCAGATACCCTTAAAAATGGTGCTGAGCCCTCTTGTCTTACTTATTGGGATCTCTAAAAGATCCACCCATGCAGATTTCAGGTGACAAAAATTCGAGTAAACCCATGATTAGTTACAAACATAAAACATTGAAATGCAAACGATGTGCTCCATGAAGTGAAATGAAATGTAAAATGTGCAAAAGAGTCGTGTCTTAAAAATTAATTTATAAAACTTAATACCAAAACCAAAAATAGTAATAACGTAAAAAAAATATTACATTTAAAACGTTGATGTTTTCATAAAATTTAGCAAAACACAGCATGAATATTCACTGATGAACGAGAAAAAAAAATTCTCTGACAAATGCAGGGACTTTTTGATGGCAATGACGAAGGTACAATGATCGCTGGATATATCTTAATCAATATAATAAGTTGATTATGGAGAGAAGGGCGAGGGGCTTGTGAGGAATCGAAGAATGAGGGTTGATCAGTTTTCGAGAGATGATTGTGATAATCACACTAACTAAATCAACTTCGGCTTAGATCACTCACCCTCATTGGAATCTTCTGATTAATATATACACAAAATTTGGAAAAGAGAGAATTAAAAAAAGATGGCGAATTGATATTGTTAAAATTATACCAATCTCTCAATTGTTACGGCGAACTTTTTATGTATTTAATGGAATACACATTTCTAACTTTCATGTATCATTGGCATTACTGAAATCCCGACTTACCGCCATAGTTTCCGCGTGGTCCATGGTCGCGATCGCACTCTGCCTCTGAGATCTCGTTGCTCTCCTTGGAGTCGTTGAATGAGGAGTTGCTCATATCATGGTTACGTGGTGGTGGTGGTGGAGGCTCGGGCGATCCGTTGCCAGGATTGCGAGCAGAGCCTAAGGATTAATAATTTTTTTCCATTATTTATATAATATATATATTTTTTTTATCTTTTCTATGACAGCTTTATGATAGAGTTATCTGATTTTGATAAAATTTAATCCGAAGTTCAATAGTAGTTAGAAAACACCATCTGGAAGAAATCAAGTCGATTCGATATTTTGACCTCTTGTCCGGGAGCTATCCAATATAGTCGCACGATCCGGCCCGTTCCGACTTATATACTGCGTTCAATAACTACACAACTTTTCGTAAAGTTTCAGCAAGATAGTTTTAAAACTGAGAGACTTGTTTACATAGAAACCGACAGGAGGACAGACGGACAGAGGGACGTACAGATTTCGATTCAGATGGTGATGCTGATCAAGAATATATATACTTTATCGGGTCTGAGGTGTCTCCTTCACTGCGTTGCAAACTTCTGACTGAAATTATAATACCCTTTGGCTCTGCAAGGGTATAAAAATGTTTGCTTTGAAGTAAATAATAATATTTATTTTTAGGGAACCTAATATTTCTTAATGTCACAGATATATAATACATACGTCGATAAATTTCAGGGTTTTCGTTTTGAAACCAACCCAATAAATTCTAGTTTAAGTTTTTGAGCAGTAGATAAGTCCTACTAAAGTGTTACGATTTTAAAGATGGTTGATTTGTAACTGTTGATGTTTTTGTGTTTTTAAAACAAAATATTCTGTTCCCCCCTAAATTTAATAATATCTCTGTGTGATTGTTTTTCACTCACCGATGCTGCGTCGTCCCATGGAACCTCGAGAACCGTAGTGGTCGTAGGGCTGTCCGTAGGGACCTCCGTACTGGGAGCCGTACTGATCCTCCTCCGGAGCGCAGTTGGCGGGATCATCGTACTCGGGTCCGGGTCCGGAGTAAAGGCTGCCGCCTTGCGAGTTGACGCGGGTGTATCGGCGCTGTGAGAGAAAGTAATGCATCAAATAACCAACTACATATAATTTATAAGCCTTTGTACTAACATATTGATCCTCCTCAGCGCAGTTGGCGGGATCATCGTACTCGGGAGCAGGCGTGTAGATGGAGGACTGTCCACCCTGGCTGTTCTTGCGCTGATAGCGATTGGCACGTGGCATCGACTGCGATCCGGAGCGGGAGTGGACGTGTCCTGGGTGTCCTGGCGGGAGCATGGTGCCCGCGTGTCCGGGAACTGGGCCTGCGTGTCCGTTCTGGTGCGGGAAGGTCTGGAAGTTCATGGCCTTGGTGGGGTCCATTTCCTCGCGGAAGCCGAGCAGGTGGAACGTGGCATAGGGGCAGATCTCGTCTTCCATGCCTTGCGGGAAAATAATTCGATTAGCTTGTGTTTGTGCTTTGGTTATCAAGTGTGGTATGAGTGGCTTTGGTTTAGTGTTTTAGTATGATGCGATGATACCTGTTACTCGTTTCTTTACCCTTACCAAGTTATTACTTACTAGATGGTTAGCTCGAATTAGCTGGATGCGACCAGGAGTTAGACTATTGGTTAGTGCGGGTAAAGTAACTTAAAGTACGTTAATATTGCAGGGAATCAATTTTGAAGGATACAAAGAAATTACAAACAGCTTAAATTAAATTACAACAAAATAAAAGATAAAATAATATTGTTTGCATTTTCATAATTTAACTTAAAGGGTTAAGTAAAACTAAAAGTTACTTATTTTGCTTATGATAAATAGAAGAAGAAATGATTGCAATAAGAAATTCACTGATAAGGTTGGGTTGTGAGGTTAGTGGGGATTTTTAAAGGGAATAATGAACTTAAATCCAAGGAAGGGAGTGGCTGCTCCTCTCCGTTTCGCCTACCTGGATGCCTGTAATGGCACTCGGCATTGCCGTGGGCGTGGCCATAATGGTTGCCGTGCATCGGCACTGGTGGGGCCTTCAGCTCCTCGTAGAGATTGGGATTACGTCGGGGATCCCAGGTCGAGTGGTTCGAACGCAGACCACCGCGGCCTGAAGATTCGATTTTGGTGTGGTGATTGAGGGTGTTGTGTGGATGGATTCGGTTCGTGTGTGATATTTTTCAATTTCCAATTTCGTACAACATCAAAGATAAGTCAACGGAAATCATAATCGAATTGAAGCAACCGAGGAGGTGCGGGATTTGGAGTTGGTGCATGGGAGGCAAGAGGATTAAACGATAAGTATAATTTCGATTTAAGCTGGGGAAATCCCAAACAAAATAGGCAACAAAATACGTCTCTAAATTCACGACAACATTTATAGTTCTTTTCATGCCAGGAATGGGAATTGGGAACATCGGACAAACGGAAAAAAAGCGGCTTAAAAAAGCAACACTAAGAATTTTTTGGGTCCGGAAAAGCTTGGCACGAGTGATTGTGTGGAATATAGGGCAGATGACTACCTCTCAGTGTATGCAAATGCAACGCAAAATACTTTTCGTGTGTTTTTTTTCGTTCGCAAAGTAAATGGAAGAAAGAACTAAGCCCCGGGCGATGAACGGGAATCGAGGGAAGCCCTCGACCCCGGACATGGACCCTCGGCATTAATAAATGTTGCATTGGAAATTTAGATGCTTACTTATGACTGTACCTCGCTTAATCCTGTCGCAGGTGTTGTAGTTGGATCCCGGGACGGGGGGCAGCTTCCGGTTGGGGGGTGCGATGTAGCCGAGCTCATCCCGCAGGTCCGGACGGCGCTTGTCCAAGGTGGCGCCAGGTCCCATTGTCTGATTGTAAACTACATCGTCTAGAATTAATATATGATATCGCCAACTCAATATTGAAACACTGAAGATGCTTTTCCTTCATTATATGCTGCTCGCATTCAATCAACTCGCATACTTTACTTCTGTTTTCGATCTCGACTTGTTCCGTCACTCGTTACTGGATTCAACAATTAATTTTTTTGGTTTTTTCTTTGTTTGTTTTTGGTGCGGCATGTCAACACACTAAATGTGCTAATTAGTAGCTCAAAAATACAAGTTACAATTGCGAAAAAGATTCCAAAAGAGGTTACGTGAAGTGTTTTGGTTTTTGTTTTCGATTTTAAAATATACCAACTGGTCAACGATTACGGTTACGATTGTCAACAATGATATGAAATGAGCGATGATTTCAATTTTGGATTTTACTCGACTTTACTCAAGCATCGATCAAGGATCTCGATGGTGGTTTCAAAAAGCATCTTAGTTTTTGGTTGTACATAAAGGGGGGGTAATACGGAAAGTATTCATAACTTAAAAACGAATACGATAGATTTGATTTGTCTTGTTTTGTGGAGGATATGATTGTAGATATACAAGTATATAGAAAAGTATTATTTGATTTTAAGATTGTGAAAGTCGCTTATGCCATAAGCAAAACGTATTTACAACAATAAGGCTATATATATCGTTTACTGTGGTTAAGCTAATATTGTATACAAATATCGTACTCCAAAGAGCCAATTAAAACTCCGCATAAATAAATTTTCAAAAATCTATTTTTGAGTCACAATTGGATGTTTGGGGTAAAATTTCAAAGTCATCATATTTGGCAATTGATAAACCAATTGGATTTAATGATGATGAAATATTGATGATTGATTTTATATGAACACATAAATATTGACACTAATTTAATATATTATATAGGTATTATATATATTTTAATAGTTTGGTATATTTTCAGTATTTGACTGTTGGCGGCTTTTGTTGGTATATTTTTGGAGTGCATACTTTTGGTTTATTTCTGTAAGTGTAGCTTGTAAAAGTGTTTTAACAAATTTAATTGAAACATGCAAAGCGAACTAAACATTGACATTCCATTTATGAATAAAATGTTTTCCGTTGACCATTCTGTCTTTAAGAGTGACGGCTAAAATTATCGGCATATAGACAAAACGTTTGGTAATATACTGCACTCGAATAACTAGTGTAAAAGTCAAAAACAAAACAACCCAAAGTGTATGTCTTCCTAACAAAAATAAGCTTGTCTTAAATGTTTTAAGTATGCTTAAGTTTTCATTAAGCATCAACGTCACTGTATAGTCAAGCAAAGAACTGACACTTCAGTATTTTTACAAGGTTTAATCCCCCTATTATAGCATAATAAAATGTTAAACAAATAAAAATCTTTTAAAATTATACTCCTTTTCGAATATTTGAAATACCTATGCTTATAGTGCCTCGATTCCCCAACCAGTATTTAGCCGATATTTGTAAACCAAAACAGAAATAAAATATTGAGCTAGGATCTACAACAAGCAGTAAATGGGTTAAGATTGGTTAGAACATTAAATTCATTGCGCTCGTGGGGAAGTCCCTTGGGGGAGAACCTACAGTACACATCCTTCTGGCCGCCGCGCATGTCGTCCGCTCGTCTCCGGGAGAGTGCCACACACACCACACAGATGCCCACCGCAACCACCACCACAGTGGCGATCAGGGGCACCATGAAGTTGAGGTCGAGCCACTCGGGCATCCAGGCGGGCAGGCGGATCCGGGTGTGCACGTTTCCGTGACCGGATCCATCGTCCAGTGGGGCAATGGTGCCTTCGGGGTTCAGATTCAAGTGGGTATACAAACCAGATTCGCACATGCAACGCGTGGGGCATAGACAACAACAAATATGGGAGTATGGGGCAGGCAGTTCAGGCAATAGTTTTGTTTTCATGACAAAAGCGCAAGTGTGGATTGTGTTTTTGGGTGTTCGTGGTGTCAGAGAGAAATAGAGAGGAACCGAAAAAGAACGAATTTCTTAATTAGTTGTCAGCATAGATACCTTTGTGGTGATTGCCCTTGCTACGCAGTATACAAATAACAATTATCGCTATGATTATGACGAGCAGAGCCGCCACGACGGGCACAACTAAATTTAGGTTCGAGAGGATAATGCGGATCGTGTCCTCGGCGCTTAATTCGGGTAAATCTCGCGAAGGTGCGATAGTGCCTGCAACAACAATAACAACAACAACCAAAGGGTGTTTTTTCAGTGGGTGGAAAAAAAATAGTGGGACGGAAAGAGACAGAGACACAGAGAGGCAGAAACAGAGAGAGAGAGACAGAAAGATCAGATATGCCCTTTGACCTCCGTCGGCACATCGATCCTTGTACCAGACACACCGCGTCGACACTTAACACATACATATACAAATACAGACTGTGGCAGGTGGAAAAGTTCAAAGGTTAACTTGTCGATATTAAGTCGTTTTCGATATTCATAAGAGAGAAAAGTATAAGGTAATTATAGTTTTGTTTTAGATTATTTTACACAGCGCAGAACTTGAAGCACGCATCAAAATGTGAGTAATTTTATATGAGAACTAGTTAAACTATTGAAAAAGTCGTAACTTTATAAAAACAGTTTAGTTAAGGTTTTAAATACGTTTAAATGCAATTTGTTTGTGATCCGCTTAAAGCTAATTAATGATGTACGATATGTTGTTAGATCGCTAGAACTGGAAGAAACGAATGGAACAGCATTCCGAGAACGAGACAATATCCTTTAAATAAACCAACTAATATAGGCGAATAGGAACTCAACTATAAATTGACGTAACTATAACTGAAACGAATCGAAATGGCAAAAAACCCAAAACAAAATGTCTGCGTGTGACTGTAGTGATAGTATGAGTCGAACCATAAGTAAAATGTTAAGAAATCAACTCTCTCAGATCAGACTCTCTGGCCAGGGCTCCCAGATAATAGGAATGAAGATTCTTTGGTTGTTGTGCTTGTTTGTTATGGCTTGGTGGCTCTGCTCGATTCTTGGGATTGAGTTTTAACATTAGCTTTGTCTTTTCCAAGTTTCTTTTCAATGAGCACTTTGCTATTAATAATCAAATAATAAAAGCAAAACAAGTTAGCTAAAATTATAAGTTTATCGTTTTTTGTGAGTGACTCTGTGACCAGTTGTGGATGGGGAATAACTCGAAAATTACTAAATTATGCCGCTGGAAAACGTTTTCAAATCTTTTTTTTTTTTGCGGTGGTACATCAATTGGATTTTTTACAATCAATAGATTCGGGAATGGATCGGCGGGAAAAACAACATTTATTGCGTATGTTTAGTGACGACAATCATCTAAGCTTTTCTTTCACATTTGGTGTATTTTATACAAAATCTTCTTCACGAACTGGGCACAGAAATGCAAAACAAAAACGAAAAACAAAACAAATAAAAAAGTACGAAATAATGCAAGGGACGTTCCATGTCAACTAGGCATATGCCTTAAAATACTAATCATTTGATCTCTTGAAAAAAAAATGTCTTTAAATATTCATAAACTTTTACACATCAAATTAATTTTTTTTTATAAATAAATATACATTGTCTTTTTACATATTTTGGTTCATAAGAGATAAGATAACAATTAGGATATTTGTTTTTAAAATAATTAGAATCAAGGAGTCACATTTTCAGTAGATCTGTTGATCACTTTGGATATCTATTTTTAGTACTGGGCATAAAATTAGTTTGACATGGGAGATCCCAAAAAGGTTTTCTGTGATCTAGAGCTCTACAAATGCTTGGATCTACTAAAAAATTAAATAAAATTATAATCGTGGCTGTATGGTGAGTTATTTATCTATTCGGTTTTAAACATATGCATATACTTTGCAGTAGCTCTTCGAGGGGATTCTTGATAAAAACGGAACGAAACAAATTGCATTTACGTAAGAAAAATGATTATTATTTTACACTAGTCGGGTGCGGCTGCGTTCAGAGTTCTGGCAGTTCAAAAATCTAAAAAGTTAACTATTTGCAAAAAATTAAATCATAAAGAAACTTAAAGAACTATTATATCGACAAGCTTTGTGTAAAAAAAATTATATAAAATAAAGATTTTAAACCAAATAAGAACATGTAATACTGTGCAATTTGTTCACATTGAAAGCAAAGAAATCATAAACTGCTCATATTTTAGTTAAATATGTTACAATTGTGATTGGTAAAGACAAAAAACTCAGGAAATATTGTGTTGGCAACAGGAAATAGCTTGGTGCTTTTCATCTTGTTATTTGTATATGGACAGAGTTTCGGAGACGGGATCCTAAAATCGCTTCATAAGATATCAAGGCCCAAAGTGTGGGTTTTCTGGATATCCTTGGAGCTATATTTTAAGGACCCCACACCGACACCGTCAACGTAGAGTACTCTATGTACAAAAGCAATGCAGGATTCATTTCGGGAATCGGAGAACAGATCATAAATACCTCCGGTCACGGTCAGGGTGGCAAAGTCGTATTCGGCAACGGTGAAACCAGCTGAATTGTGGGCAGTGATGCGGAGATTGTACCAGGTGGCGGGCTCCAGGTCCAGAACCACGTAGTTGTTGTCGGGCTTAACGTTGTTTGAGATCTGATTCCATTCAATTTGGTCACTAGGAGGGTCAAACAATTTGATGCAGTTCCAATGAATTTGCAAACTATGATCTACCGTTTCTTGCTCTCAACCACAAAGTGCGACATGGGGCATCCACCATCTTTCCAGGCCTTGAAGTGCAGCGAAACCGAGTTGGAGGAGACCTCAATGAAGCGTGGCTTCTCGGGCAGCTTGGGCTTCTGGCCTTTGGTTCGGGTATTCAAAATGTCCGAAGCCTCGCCAGCGCCAATACTGAAAGACAAAGATTTTAGGGTCTATCTAATATTTATTATGCAAAAAAACTCACTTATTAAATCCGGTAGCATAGACTTGATAGCGGGAACCGCACAACAAATTCTCAATATTGTGCTTCTGTGAGTCGACGGAAACTTCCGAGGTTTCCCATTCTCCGAATTCTGAAAGGAAAATAAATTTAAGCAATTCAATCACTTAATCGCATCTAGATTGTGCAAAGCTGACTACTGCATGTACATGAAAGTAATCTTTAAATTTTTATCAGCTGCGATTTTTCTAATAAAATAATTTTTAATGTATTATTGGTTGTTTTAACTTTTCTTAATCATTATATTTAGTTTTTCCGTTAGTTTTTTTTAACTACATTACTTAAAGAATTATCTCTTACCTGGCTTGTAGTGCAGGGTGTATCCGTGCAGAGGGGCAGTGTCTCCTTCATGGGGCTTTAGCTTAACAGTGAGAGCATCTGTGGTCGTGGCCGAGAGGGTGACGTGGGGAGATTGGGGTGGAGCCAAGACAATCAGTTTGTGGGTGATCGAGTCCTTTGCAATAGAGTTCTCGGCGTGGCAGGAGTAGTCTCCGGCATCCTGGCGGTTCACCGATTTGATGAGCAGGGATCCGTCGGGCAGGACACGCATTCGGTCATTGGCACTGAACTCGACGCCCTTGATCTTCCAGGTGATCTCCGGTTGGGGGGCTCCGACGGCCAGGCAGGGCATCTTGGCGTCCTCCTTGAAGGTGGCAGTGAAGGTGTCGTCGAAGGAGGCGATCTTGGCTGGAACCTGGTCGCTGGGCATGGCCACAATGCTCTTGGACTGCTGGCCCTCGCCAATGGTTGTGCTGGCTGTCACCCAGAACTCGTACGGCTTGTTCTTCTCCAGCTCGGTGGCCTCGAAGCTCATCTGGTAGTGGGGAACCTTCTGGGTCTTTGTCTCAGTCTCAGCACCTTCGGCCTTTGAGTACACGGTGTACTGGGTGATGATGCCGTTGGGCTGTGCTGGTGGCCGCCAGGAAACCAGGATGGCAGCATTACCCATTACCAGGGCCTTGACATCGGTGGGTGCCTCGGGAACTATTAGTTAAATTAAGTTAGTAGTTCCTAATGAAAAAATCATGAATCATTTCACTCACCATCAGGTTCGGTTTGGCAGTGAATAGGAACGCTGCGGACGCCATCGCCTCCGGCTGTTGTGGCCAAAACCTGCATTGTGTAGTTGGTGTACTTCTTCAGTCCATGGAGAACGGTGTCGGAGGAGGCAGTCTTCTTGTAGTGTCGCTTAGTCTCATCTAACATAGTTTACAGAAAGGAATATGCGAAAAAAGGATTAATAAGAAGAACAGTGGATGTGACTTTCCATGGAAAAACCGGTATCTATTATTAAATGTAACTAATATGTTCTCTAAATTTTTTTCACATGTGCCAAAGGTTTATTTGTATGGCTAAAGTCTGGAGGTTTTAATTTGTTATTAACCAATTCCTTAAAAGTATTGGATTGCGCACTATTTCGGATGCACATTACTAAAAAGTAATTGTAATTACTTGACCAATATAATACGTGTGCAAATTCAACTTAGTTATTCAGTGTTCATTATTAATGAATAAACATACCCTAAACATACATAAATGAACACCTTCTTTCCAACTCTTTCCGAAAGAGAGCATACCGAATATGTTATTCCTATCTGGACTTGGCTTTACTTACCATACCACTCGTCGCTGGGGGCATAGACAACCTTGTAGGTCTTGATCACTCCGTTCGCGGATTCCAGGGGAGGGCTCACCCACCCGACACGGATGGTCTGCGAGGTCAGGGTGGTGCAGGCGGTATCGCTGGGCGGTTGGCTGGGGGTTCCCTCGGCGGTGAACTGCTTCTCCTCCTCGCTCAAGGGACCGGCTCCGATCTTGTTGAAGGCCTGAATGACCACTGAGTACTGGGTGTATACGCGCAGGTTCTGCAGTTCCAGGTTATGTTCCTTGCCCTCCTCGGTGATGAAGTTGATCGTTTCAAAGACGTACGACGAGTTAGTGTTGGAGAGCTTGTAGCCGACGTAGTAGCCAAGGATCTCTCCGTTCCACTCGGTGCGTGGTGGTGGCTTCCAGGTGACGCGCATGGTGGTCTGGTTCACGGGTTCCACTTTGATATTTTGGGGTTTGCCGGAGGGCGCTTCTTCGGCTGTGATGATGGTCACCGCTTCGGAGGACTGCGACGTTCCAATCGCGTTCTCGGCCACGATGCGAATGTTATAGGTTGTGGCGGGGCTGAGCTTCTGCACTTGGGCTTCGGTGGTGTGTCCGGGAACGATGACGCGATCGATTTCGCTCCAGGATGCGCGGGATCGCTTGAACTCAATGATGTACCTGTCCAGAGGGGAGTTGCCGTCGTAGGGTTGGGCCCAGCTCAGCTGCACGGACCGTCCGGACTTGTCGAGCACTTTCAGGGCGTAGGGCATCTCGGGAACTTCCTGGACAATCATGTTGATGCTGGCGTCGTCTGATCCGAAGGCATTGGTGGCCACGCAGGTGAAGAGGGCTGAGTCGGATCTCTCGGTGCGCTTGATCGACAAACTCGACATGACTCCGGTGGACAGGATCTCCTCGCGGATGGTGTAGCGGTTGTCGTTCTTGGGGTCCAGTCGCATGTTGTTCATGTTCCACAAGATGCCAATGGGCTTCTCGCCCTTCGCCTCGCACTGCAAAACAGCGGGCTCACCTCGTCGGGCGGTCTGGTTGCGCAGCTTTTCAGTGAATTCTGGAGGAGCCTGAACGCTGATCATGATCACTGCAGAGAGTCCGGAGCCTATTCCATTGATTGCCTCGCAGAGGTAGTAACCTTCATTTGTCTTTTGGATGTTGTCAACGTGCAAAGTGCCCTCTTCCACGCGAATGTTGTCACTCTTCTTCAGGTCCTTGTACTCCCCGGGGGTATCACCTTAGGAAAGAGATTCCCCTTAGTTATTTTTCACAGGAATAAAAGGGGATATTGCTTACCAACTGCCTTCTTCCATGTAACTTGGGGCTTGGGGAAGCCATCGGCCTTGCACTCAACCTTGGCATCAGATCCCTGGGCGAAAGCTTTATCGGTAGGCTCGAGAATCCATCTGGGTGGTACTGTTGGTGGATTTCGTTGACGCGGATGTGGAAAAATAATATGTTAGTTGAGCTGTGGTGGCTTCTAAGCATAATTTGGTGCATGCATTAAGGTCATGGAGTTGATAGTAATCAGAAGGACGGACTTATACTCAAGCAAAGTGAAATGATTTTTATATGGTTAACAACTTTTTTTTTTTTTTGAAATTAGCAATTGAAAAAAATTTTATAAAGAAGAATAAAATTGCCATCTCGTATCATTTCAGTTTTCTTGTAATGTCTGGAAATATTTTTGTGTCTTTACTTTTATTGAAACGCTTTTAATGTTAAATTACAGGTAAATTACTTCAACACAGCAAAATATTTCCATACATTCACTTATATCCAATAACTAAAAAGGCCAAACTACAACCAAATATTAGCACAAATAACCAAGGTAAAAAGGACAAATGAAAGTGGGAGTTTAATGAAACTAAAGTACGAACAAACTTATGGTTAATTTGCATGCTGTCAGTGCAAAACGAAGTTCTGTTTAAGATTGCTTTAAGCAACAATTTTGTGCATACATTCTGTATTTCTTCGTAAACAGACTTCGTTTTGTGTTTTACGATCTATGTAAATAATGAAGAATAAATGAAAGATAATTAATGAAGGATCGGGAGGGAATGTGTGGGTTATTTCAGGGCTGGACAGATCAGGGCGAATTGTTTACGATTGTGGAAGCGCACAGACTCAGTCTCGTATGGAGGAAGACTGAGTGCCTTAGTTACGTTTAAGTTTAGTTTGGATTAAGTAGACAATGAGAAGCGATTATGGTAATAGATCTTGCGGTTATTGTTCATTGGTTTATTCGGTGTTGGAGCATGAGCCCTGTGAACTTGTATTTTACATGAAACCAAAGCCTCTCAGGGGTTAAACAAATAGGAGCTGTCATTCTCTGAGTCGCATCCCTGAATTCTCTTCAAGGACAGTGCTTTATATAGTGCTGTGTATGTGTGTAGGAGTTGCTGTGCATGTATGGGTGCAGAGTCAGATCTGAGCTGTTTTGACATATGGATAACAATCGAACAAGCTGAGTAGATAGGTGTACAGTGGGACCTAGGTTAGATCTTGGCTAACTTTGCCCGACGCTGACAGGTTTACTGATTCGAGTTTAAATTCACATATTTACACAAGTATATAGGACCATTAATTTGTGGGCCTATGAAGCGAAGTATCGGTAAAGTCAAGGAAGTTGAGAAAAACTGGAGTAGCTGCAGCAAGAGGAACAAGAAGAAAGGTGAGCTGGACGAGCAGTCTCAGATTCCCACATTTACCATTCACAGTTAGCCTGGTCCGGCGCTCTGCCACGCCCACCTGGTTGATCGCACGGCAACTGTAGTTCCCCGCATGCCCCTCCCCCGCCCTGTTGATCAGCAGTAGGCTCGTGTGTTCGCCCACTGTGGCCTGGGTGACGTCATCGTCGCCGTCATCGTGCACCTGCCGCCCATCTAGCCACCACTCGAACAAAATGGGCGTGGCACCCCGACTGGCAATGCAGGTGAGCTGCACGTAATCGCCGACATCGCAAACGGAAGCGGAAAGGAGCAGCGACGAAAGCACAGGTGGCTCTTAAGAAGTCGTTGTGGGAATAGGAATTGGAGTTATCATTAATGTCGTTGTCGGGTCAAAAAGTAACTAGAAGTAAGTCATTTAGTTTGCAAATGCACTACTCTCAAACATAAAACAGCATGATCATCCTGGAAAAATTATTTCGATTCACTGCCTTAAATTTTGAATTTAAAAATGCTAATCACAACCATATGTTTTGTATTATTTCCATTAAAGCGCACTATTAATTCTAGTAAACCTACTATTTCATAATACATACATATATCCTAATCTTAGTTTATAAAGGAGATTGACTTATTTCCAATCATATCTTCAACCCTGTTGAATTTAAATTGTCTTGTGGGAATTTCGTGTGGACTCTGTAGAGGACAACTATAATATATTCAAACGAAAGAAAGTAACAACTCATAAGCCGGACTATATACATCCGCGAGTACCCTTCACTTTCAGGACGGACCACCGACTGGCCAATCCCGCCGCATTGCTGGCCACACACGTGTAGTTCCCGGAGTCACTGATGGTGGTTTGGCGCAGGGAGAGGATCAGGGTGTACTCGTCGATCTTGTGGTAGATGGAGCGCAGCAGGGGCTGGCCGTCCTTCAGCCAGTAGATGTCGATGGGCAGGTCCCCGGAGGAGACCATGCACATAACCCTCACCGCCTGGCCGCCATTCACCCCGTTGGCATTGAACTGAAACTGGTCGACTTGGGGCAGCTCTGGTTTCGGATGATAAGAAGCCGTGCAATCGGTCAAAATTTGTACAGCAGGTGGAACATTGGGTGACCCCGACTCATTTTGTATAATACAGGTTCGTGCTTATGCAGTACCAACACCAGACACAAAGACAGAAAGTGGGGATTTACAGATGCCTATGCTAGGACTCTACAACTATGAAGCCACCTTTAAGCTAATATTCCCCTTAGGTGAATTTCAAACAAACCCTTCACACTCAGCTGTGTCTCTGCCGAAGTTTCGCCCGCCCGATTGGCGCCCTTGCAGGTGTAGTTTCCTGCATGGTAACCCTCAACGCTCTCGATGTTCAGCGAGCTGCTGCGCCGGCCGTGCATCAAGATGGTGACCCCGTCCAAGTCTCCGGCGGGCTCGCCATTGAAGTACCAGGTAATGTTGAAGGGCGCGTCGCCGTGCACCACCGCGCAGGTCACCTGGTAGAAGTCTCCCACGTACTGGGGCGAGTTAACGGGCAGAGGAGCCAGCTTAGGGAGAACTTTGTTTGGGGTTTCCAACAAAAGAGGGAGAAATAATAGTTAAACTTAAAGTATAAATTGTTGGTATGGGAACCCAAAGGTATGGCAAAATTTCGAGACATTTCAAATGGGGTAGCCCTAACAAAACGCAAATCAAACCTATGACGTTATGGGCTATTCCTACGATTGTAAGATTTCCAACCAATGGCATTTTTAGATGAACATGGAGGTATTTTTATATTAAAAATGCAATAAACCAAACAAAAATTCAACCTCGAAGTATCATTTTCGTTTTCCTTGTAAGGATCAATAAAAGATATTCCAATGTATTGTGGAATAATCTTCTTCGTTATCATTGCAATAATTCTTTTGTGTTCTTTTCGATATTTTGACATTCTTGCCTAAATTCCCCTCGGAGCTTATAAGCTCTTTCAAACACAATACCTAATCTAGTCGGTACAGTTCAGTGCAGTCATACATGCAAGCGTTCAGTGTGTATGTGCGCCAGGCCAAACTAATTAGCAGTGATGGATCCAATTCGATCAGATATAGAAGCGAGGAGTTCAGGACAGCAGCAGAGACAGATGGTCAGAAGGTCATGCAAGAGAGTTTGCAGTCGCGGGGGTTAGTACTCGGCCACAAGAAGCTACTCGAAAGACCCAATCCCGTGGAATTCCTAACCGTAGACGTTCAGGGGCGTGGTGAACTGCTGATGTCCCGCCGAATTTCGGGCGTGGCAGGTGAAGTTGCCCGCGTGTGAGGCCTCCACGGCCTCGATGGTCAGCACACTTCCGCGATGACCCACGCGGGCCGTGGTGATGCCCAGATCCTCGTGGATCTGCTGCCCGTCCAGCGTCCAGTCGATGTCCAGCGGGAGATCTCCTCCGGGAACGGAGCAGTGGAGCGTCAGGTACTGGCCCACCTGGGCAGGACCCTCCTCGAAGGCGAAGGGAATGATGCGCGGCAGAACTGGGGGTACGTTTTTCGGTGATGGGATGGTAAAACAAAAAGTGCACTAAATTAAACGATAATCGCAACGGGCTTTCGATCTTAGGACTAGTGTTCTCGGACCTATAACCCGCAGTTGGGTGCTGTACGAAGCCCTGCCAGCGGCGTTTTCCCCGTGGCAGGTGTAGTTGCCCGCATGGCGATCGGCCACGCTTTCGATGGTTAGCACACTACTCCGCCGACCCATCTTGGCTATCAGGATGTCCTGGTCCTCGTCATTGAAGAGGGGCTGGTTGTTGAACGACCAGCGGATGTTGAGGGGCAGATCGCCCTCCGTCAGCGTGCATTGGTAAGTTATGTACTGGCCCAGATGGGTGGGCTGCGAACCGGTGGCAAAGGGCGTGATTTGGGGCAAGACTTGCGGATACACAAAACAAAAGCAGGAAAATCAACGAATAATGAACAAACGTAAAGCAATAAGGGTGATGTCTAACTACTTATGGAGGATCCATAATCATTAGGATCTCTGTCCCACCGTTGACAATCAAGGCAGCCGTGTACTCCACCGTTTGGGCCTTGTTTCTTGCCCGGCACGTGTAGTCCCCCGCATTGTTGCCATTCACCGAATCGATGGTGAGCACATTGACCTTCTTGCCGATCTTCGAAGTTGTGACCCCGTGGTACTCGTTGATGGCGTAGTCATTGAACAACCAGGTGATGTCCACGGGGAGATCGCCCTTCGATATGGTGCACTGCACCGTAACCGAATCTCCGAAGTTGGCGGGTTCGTCACCGAATTCAAAAGGGCTGATATGGGGTGGCACTTAAAAGAATTGAGTACTCAAAGGATGTAGCCAAGGATAGATTTTGTTTTTCTGAAATATCCCCTTTTATGGTGTCTCGTTGTCCCTTAAATCTAAGCTACAAAAGCCAAGACACAAAAGCTGAAGCAGACATGCAATCTGTGTATTTGGATTGTGTGTGGGAAGATCAGGAGCGGGGTCACAAATAGAAACTAACTAAAGCAGAAAGACACTCAGGTGCTGTACAAAAGCGCTGTCTCCGCGGAGAGAGTACCATTTACTATCAACTGGGCGGTGTACACTGCCGATGCCCACAGATTCCTCGCCTTGCAGGTGTAATTGCCCACGTGGCGAGCATTCACGGCATCGATCATCAGCACACTCAGACGTTTTCCCATCTTCGAGGTGGAGATCCCCGAGTAATGATTGATGGGATAGTCATTGAACAGCCACT